ATAAAAACGAGAGCTTTAAAAATAAAATTAAAGATGTGATAACAGAGGAAAAAAATTAGACTTCTACATATCAAAATACCGTTTCTTTAAAAGAAATGTCATTTCATACGAATTTAAAGGGCTGTAGTATTAAAAGTATGCTATTTTTTCTTCTAAAGTTTGGAATATTACCTCGAATAAAACGACTTCAAAACATAAGATCATTGCGCACGTTTATTTCAGGTTTCTTCGCAATAAAGGGGATGCGTGTCAAACGGCGAATATACCTAAAATTAAAAAATGCAACTTGATAGTATGGGTGATCGTTATACACCGGATTTTATGGTAGGTATTTTTAACTGCATAGGTATAAAAAAAACTTTATGTAATTTAGCAGAATCATTTTTAATATTTTGCAGGGGGAAAGGCATAGTCATTAAAGGGATATTTTTAAGGCCATTCCCCCCCCCTTTTTTTTAAATGAAAACTTAAGGCTTTAAAGGAATAAGTTTTATTTATTTATTTATTTTTTTAGTTAAGGAAAACTTTCCACCTGTAAAACAATTGGGAGACCATTTTTCTGGATTTAATCTCAAATATTCCAGATCTCCCGACATACATATTTAAAAGTGACGGCTATCAGTTGAGATTGGAAGGAACAGCTGATGACACAAAGTGGGAATTTGGCAAGACAAGCAGGTGTGTCCAGATTCACTGAGCCAAACTCTTCCTCAGATCGAATCTAGAAGATATTCTCAACAGATTCCTTATCGAATGGAATTTGTAGCTTCTAATTTTAATGCAAAAGAATGATATTTATCACAACACTTTGGCCTGTATACCTAATTAGGTCTTCTGATTTGGAACAAATATCTGCTGTGTTAGGAATAAATCACAGCCACTTAAATGATTTTTTTAAATTCAAATTTTTATGAATATACTCCTGCTGGATATAAGTTGTGAATTTACGAGTAAGTTTTTGAATTATAAAATATATGTTATTTTTAATATTTGTTATGATATCTAAAATTCTCAATTAAAATAGTGTCATTAAATTTTCGCAAGTAATATTTGAATATGATATATTATATGTAATCTTTCAAAAATAGTTTTTATACGCATGCCATTTTATACCATAGATTTTCAAGTTATCAATGTTATGGATTGACTGCTTATATAGTAAGCTATGTATCCTTTACAAAGCCTTATTTTTTTAAAAAATATAATATTTATTATTTATTAACATCAATTTTGTAAACTCACTCTAGATTTAATTAAACCGTTAACAAAAACTGGACGCTTATAATCAATTTTATTAAAAACTTGAGTAGAGATAAACTTGTTTTATTACATTATACTACATTTTTGTACTTTTAAATAGTTACCAAACTTTCAAAATGCTTTTGTCATTTAACTAACATTTTGTTTATTATTTTTATGTTGCAATTTTTTGGCTTAATTAGTTTAAACAACAAATTATTGAAATAATTATACACTAAGTAACTGAATATTTGAAAATTGAACTTAGTTACATCTGAATACTGTAAAATAATTTATAATATGTCTATTGAATTATATAAAAATGTTTCTAGACTTAAATGATAAGTTCTTAAAAAAAAACAACGTATCCTTTTTTTTTTTTCTTTTTTTTTTCGAATTTAATATCTTACAAATTTTGCTTTACAAGAAAAATAAAGGAAAATATTGAAGGAATGTAAAAAAATATTTCATTTCATTTTACAATTGATTCAAAATATTTTGGCGTATTTTTTATTACTTCAAAATGTGCCAAAAGAGAAATAAGTAAGTGTTTATTAACGCCGCACTATAAACCAACACGATTGCAAAAGAAAACTCGAACTGACAAGCGTGCAATTCAAATGGCAACCTAAAAATCATATTTTAAACATCTGTAAAATTTAATCTTTTTTCAGTACTTTTTTCTAGATAACGCACCATCTGAAGGATTAAAAAATGATTATATATATATATATATAATTCTGTACGAGTTTTGTTTTAATCTGTGAAAGACCTTTAAGAAAAATATAAACCCTAAAAATTTAGTTTTCATGTACAAATGTAGCATTATAGAAAATATTCACACCTTTTATCAAATTCAAGTATTGAATTAATATTTTCCATCTCAAATCTAAATTACCGCAAAATACGCCATATAACGTGCACCTATACTTTCAAGCTGCATTTTTTAAAAAAAAAAATTGAGTATATTTGCCGTATAACGCACACCTCCTTTTTTAAGCCAAAACCTGAAATGTACTTATGCAATGCTCATAAGTTTTGAAGTCATTTATTCGAAATATTATCCCAAGCTTTATAGAAAAAAATTAGTATACTTCTAGCAGTGGCGTAACGGAGAATATTAAGGTCTCCCTTAAAAGTCAGGTTTTGCCTTTACTATTTTATAAATTAGTTAAGTAAGTACTTGGTGTATGTCAAGCTTTGGGCCCCCTAGAATTCTGGGTCCTCCCCCAGCCCCGTGATGCGGGGATGTACGTTACGCCACTGACTTATAAAACCACAACCTTTTAAGTTCATAAGGTATGCTATTTCGTTTAAATAAAGAAAATTTCGATACAGGTAGAGTTCTAATTTTTCTTTTATGCTCTTTTTCTTTACTTTTAAAGCTATCATTTTTATACCCGGAGTATAACCACGTACCCATAAATTTCGATCTTATTTTGGGCTCAAAGTGCGCTTTATACGCCAGATTTTTCGATAGTTATAAGTATTAGACTGTGTGTGATAAAGTGTACCCAAATGAACCCAAAGTATTGAAATCTTCTATGGAAAAAAAAATTATGTTTTTACTATATTTTTATAAATATGCATATTTTATAATCGTTTTGCTTTGTAAATTCTCAGAAAATTTTTTAATATATTTTCTAAAATTGGAAGGAAATGTTTTTTTCCCCATATGTAGAAGACTTTGATATTTAGAATGATATTTGTCAATCGATATTCATAGACCCAATAATAGGGTCCTGTTAGCCGACTTCGGTTCATTCATCCGTCTTTGAAGCTGCTGCGTGTTAATTCGTAGAAGTGTCTTTGTACTTCATTTGTATTAAGATATGTCTGTTCCTACTTTCCAATTCATAGAAAAATGCTCTGTCCTTTAGAGCAGAGGGCTTATTGTTGAGTATATTTTTGCTGTTTGAAATGAGCAGCTTATTCCTGATTAGTTAATTTAAGGAGTATATTCGATATAGATTTATTATCCGGTCGTTTCTTTTTTTTATCTAAGAGTAGTAAATTAAAGAACGCTCTTGCTAAACTAAGACAATCTATATATTTAAATATGTTAAATACTATTTCCTTTATAGAATTTTTTTGTGTTGTCTAGCTAGTGTTTAATCAGCTGGGAAATAGTTACTGGAACTTTCTAAGATAGTTAATTAATTTAAAAAGTATATTCGTTTTAAATTGATTTATCCGTGCTTTTTTATTATCTAGTTAATGTCCAATCAATTGGACGTTCTTACAGTGAGTATAAAAACATAGTTGATTAATTTAAAAATAATATTGCTTACAGTTTGATGTAATTAACAGTTTTGTTATTGAGATAAGGCCATGTCAACTAAAGATATTTTACTACGCAAAGTATTAGATTTGTTTTTAAATATTATATTCGATATAAATTGGTTTATGCAGTCGTTTTGCTATATAACCAATGTCTAATCAATTGAAGCGTGCTTACTGAATCCAGATAATTAATAATATAAAGAGTATATTCACAATACAATTGAATTTTTACTCAGTAGCTTCATTATCCAGGTAATGTATAATCAATTGAGTTCTTATTATGCATATTAATATATAATTAATTTGAAGATTACATTCGATATAAATTGATTTATATAGTCGTTTTTTTCATTCAGCTAATGTCCAGTTAATTAAAGAATTTTTATTGTTTTAAGCGGCTAAAGAGGGCATTCATGGGTGGGTACAATCACTAAGAGGAAATCTCTTTATGTTGTATACAATAATAGTTTTTTAAAAAAATTCTCTACAAAACATCTGTTATTAAAGATATCTATGGGAAATCGTAAGAAAATTGTAAAAAAAGTCAGACATTAAAAAGAATAAAACAATGTATTATGAAATTAACAATTTTTTTTTATTTATTTAAAAGTGGTTTCTTGCTCAATAGTATACCATCTAACATTAAAAAATTTAATGACTTTCTTTGCAAAACACACAAAAATGTTTAAAAAACATCCACACTTTCTGTCCACTTCCTTTGAGTAATACCACTGGTTATTTAAATAGATACCATATAACAGTGATCCCTAAGCCCCGGGCCACGGACCGGTATCGGTCGGTGGATCAAATAGCACCGGGGTGCCCAAGAAATATTAAATTATTATCCATTTTGTGAGCTGCGGTGTATTTTTCTCGGATTTGTATCATTCTTCATGGAGATCTCTTTATACTCCATGTTAAATCACTTTATATTTCTTTTTTTGGCGTGACAGTCATTTATTCTAAAGGCATATTTAAATACACACAATTAAATTAAAATTAGTTAAACAAAACAATCTAAAATATAACAATCAATGTCTACTCCCCTCAGCGGGGCCCCAGCGGTCCACGACGATAAAAAGGTTGGGGAGATCTGCCTTACAATATGGAAAAATTAAGTATTAAGTATTCTTCTTGATGGAACAAAAAGTTTTGTAAAATATCTAGAATTCTCTGACTCTCTCGTTAATTAAAGGAATCTGTTTTTTCAATTCCTACTATTATTTCACACTCTCCCTATATATATTTCTTTAAATATATATGTATCTTGTTCAAACTTTCAATCGTTAATAAAATACTTTCTATTCATCCATTCAAGTTCAAATACATTTTTTTAAAACTTGTAATAGATGACTCTTGATGTTAATACAGTTTTATATCAAATATTAATCTATTAATTAAATTTAATTAATGAATAAATAGTAATAAACTAAAATAATGGAACAACACCATATATAGAAAGGAAAATCGCTTGTTGTGTCCCAGTAGCACAATGCGTAGCGTGTTGGACTTCTAATTCAAAGGTCGTGAGTTCAAATCCCACCAGGGATGGCTTAATTTTTGAGAATGTGATTTGTTTTTACGATAGCATTTTATTGGAATAATTAAATTTAATTAATGAATAAATAGTAAAACAAACAAAAATAGTCCAACACCCTGTATGGAAAGGAAAATGGAAAATCGCTTTCTATTTTGTCATTAAATATCGTGATTCTGCCACATGTATATACATATTTATATTAATTGTAACTATTTAATAAAAAGTAACTAAAATAAAAAATTTTCTTTGTTGACCTAAGTAGGAGTTGCTTTACAAAAAACGAAAAAATAAAATTCTATTTTACTTGTTTTTTCTTCATTAAAAAAATGAATTTCTAGCAGGTGTTTTTTTTACGCGTCAATTGAAAACAAAGCTTGTCCGGCACTGAATGATAACTTTCCCTCTGAAGATCGTTGGCCCCGAAAATGATAAAATTACGGCTGATGACAAAGAGACCTTCAGAACATGTTCGATTCACGTGCAGATAAAAGTGATACCACATACGCAAGTCTTCTAATCGTTTCCATTGATCCATTTTCCCAGAACATGACGAAACCTAATGACCAGTTACGAAAACAAACAGCAGAGACATTTTGGGCAACGCCGCAGCTTAGGCACACTCCGGGCCGGCTTAGACCCGTGACATAAACGTTTTCTGAATACTTTAGTCACAAAGACTCCATTCATGGATGAAACGGTTTTTCATAATTTCCGGTTTCGTCTATGATCTATTTTTTCTTTTTGATAACTTCCAAATACTTTTTCAAGATAGCTCTTTTCTTCTGCCTTCTTTTATAGTTTTATCTAGATCATGATAGGAAGCATTTTTTTTTTTATTTTGGAATGCAAGTTACCAAAGAGTTGAGAGCATGTACCGTAATGATATAGCACTCAAAATATGCAACTGAACGAAGAAAATTGCGCATTATTTAGTAAACACGATAACCGTAAATTAATTATCAATGGGCGGAATAATAAGGGGAAAACACTTCTTTACTTATTACTTTATTTCACTCTCAAAAACAACATTCTCAAGATACGAAAGCTATAACTGAGCTGTCCCCCCCCCACCACCACTCTTTGAACTTCTACACCATTGTAATGTGAGAACTTGGAGTTATTGACAAATTTGTTATTCATCAACCTTACTATATGACGAGGCTTAATTGGAATCAAATGAACGCATGACTTAACTATGACAACTTGATTTCTGCGTACTCATAAAAGAAAGAAATCGAAATCCATAGCATTTTGCGAGTTTTACGTAAACACTAAGTCAAATAGCAAAAAGCTCACCAATGAACAAGGTAAGAACGTGATAAATTAGTTCAAGATCTGTCATTATATACAACATGAAATGAACTTTTCGATTTGTCTTTATTAAGTTAATTGTAGTTAGAATTTCCCTTCAGAATAAAAAATTCCTATACATTTCAATGAACTAGAAAAAAATAATAAGCATGTTAACCCCCACTGCAGGAAAACACTTGACATTGGTACAAATTGGCATTATGGTCATGATTACGGGTGTTGTTTCTATTGAGTCATGGTTTCGAGTTTTAGGGTGTTTGTTTTATAGATCCCACTTATGAAGAGATAAATGTTCATTAAATCTTTTAAGGAAAAAGTTTTCGCAATGGCGAGATATGAAAATTTAGAGATTCCCGAGACGGATCTGGAGTGAGTCGTCTTCGTCAATTTACCGTGGTTCAAAACAACGTTATTTCACGAATGAGTGAATATTAACACACCGCACTCTTTAGCTACCCGAGGGATTTTGGCGACGAACCTCGTAATTTGGAACCCTGAGCTGGCATCCCTCTCCTAACTACCACACCAACGGGAGGACGTTTGAGATCTCGATAGATTTAACGTGTATCGGCCCCTACACGGTGGGTCTTCAGTGGTACTGGTTTCGAACTCGTGACACGCCAGCTACGAGTTCGTTACCTTGACCACTAGGCTACCGCGGCCACGACGTTATTGCGGATCATTTTGCTGAAATCACTACTATAAAAAGGTGTGGTGATGGATATCCTCGCTGCTATGTCTTTACAATCCTTAAAGATATAATGAGGGTTGGAAGAGATGATAATGAAATTTTAATAATGGCTTCCAAGTTAAATAATAATATTTACCCAAACACAGATATTAATGTTCATTCAAGTTGCATTACACAGTTCTTAACTGGCCATAACTCGTATATTTCTCTTTTGGGTCGTTTTGATTAAAAACTACCCTTATTATTTTTGCAATCCTCTTGAAGTCGCTGACCACAACTTACTTTCATGGCACCTAATTAAAGAATTTTGTTCTTCAGAAAATACTGAAAAACTATGGTTCCATTATATCAATGAAAATTTTTCTATTCATTCTAAACTAAAATCATGTGATAGAACTAATTTAATTATTCGTGATCAAGAAACTTAAATATTATTGAATCCCTTTTTATTGTATTGAGGTAATTATAGCTAATAATAATCAAAATAAATCATTTTGCGGGGAATCTTGATTCCTTTGAATAGAATAGAGTTAAAAAGAATTAGCGGAAAGTATATATATATATAGTGTCATTTAAACAAATAAATTAATTTAAATTTGTATTTATTTTGGCATAGTTTTTTTTTATTTATCTTCATTTTATTACTTCTGTTTTTGTACTAACTATGTATGTATTTCCAAATATCTATTATCCAACTTGTATTTGCAAACAAATTTGAAACTTCATCTTTTCTTCTTTTACTCTATTTTTCTTAAGAGGTTTTTGCTTTTTAAAAAAAAAATTTTTTTTTTTTAGTTTGCTTTGAAACTATGTAGTTCCGTTTGAAGAAGTTCTGTTAAAACTTACTTTCTCCGGTAAAATGAAAAAAAAAGATTGTTTTATAAAGGTGTGCGAGAATGGTTGTTTCCCGGGAAACCAGTTTTTAGCTTTAAGTCCTTCAAGATAAGCCTTAGGCATTCCGCCTGTAACCCTTTTGTTGCTTTTGAGCACGATTTTGATAGAGAACTGACAAAACAACTTGGATGCTTATATCTAATGAAAAATAACACAGCTTTAGTGTGATGTTAAATAAAATGTATAAAAAAAAAAAGAAAAATTCTTCCCAGAGAATACATATATCAGTCGAATCTATTTAACGAAGTCGCTAATTCATTATATGAAAAATTCGTTATATACACGTTCATCTTTCAATATACTTTATAAAGCTCATGAAGCAAATTTTAAATACATAAACACAGTATATTAAAAAAAAAGTCATTACTTATACACCTTTTTGTAAATTAATATATATTTATTTTATATATCTTACCCATAAAAAAAGAAAGAAAGAAAGAAAACCTGCAAGGAAAACAAGAAAAAAGAATGTCGAGGAATACACCCTATTTTAAAAATTAAGGAAACAATTTTATATTAAAATTAATGAATTTAAGGACATTTTCTAATTTAAAGCATACTAGAGAATTATTTTAAATACATATTATTTTATAACATTATTTATTTATGGAAGATGTTTCCAGTGAACTGGACAGTGGGAGTTAAGGGCTGCCCTTCTTTGGTGAAACGTACAGAATTTTATTGTTCTCGGTGAGTTAAGCACTTAATCAAACCAGTTCAAAATTTATGACCACCAAAAAATGAGTTAAAAGAGAGAATATCTTGAAATGTCAAGAAATACAGTAAAATAGTGAGAAAAAAATGGCATCATAAGAGAAAAAGTTCGTTATATAAGAAAATGTACTTCGCTATTTTTTTTTATTTTTTTTATTTAACTTATTTACAAAACTCCTCAAGCTCTGCAATGCATAACATGAGACTAACAGACGTAAGTGGTAACTCAATTAAATCATAAAAAAAAAAACAAATTTGGAGGGGAAAAAAGGGGGGAACAAACAAGACAAAACAAAAATAAAAAGGAAGAGGGGAAATACACAAATATAAAAAAAGGGAGGTACCAATATATATAAAACTTTAAAAATCTATACAGTAAACAAATTTTCTTAAGACATTTAGGCTCTCAGTACTTCGCTATTGGGAGATTGTTTTACGAAGAAAATCAGGAAATGTTATAGGTCCAACAAAAAGTTCGCTATATAGAAAAATTCGCAATATAACGGCTAGTAATATGGAAGTTCGACTGTATATAGTTCTATATAGATAAGAGCTTCATATCTGTGCATTTCAAGAATACATAAGCTGAAAATTTTCAATCTGAAAGCTTGTTATCGCTTCTTACATCATCTTAAATCTTACATTATCTTAATCATATACTTTACCTGCTCCACGTTTACTTGCTATGTAAAAAGATTTCAAAATCTCTGTTTGCAGGGGGAGAGAGTACTTACTAAGATTTAACCCTCTTTACAAAACAAACATTTCGAAAATAGAATTCAAGAATTCTATTGTTTTGCAATCTGAACAGAGTTAAATATGTCTAAACCTATGGTGAAACAAAACTTAAGCTAACACTATCGAATATCATAAACTTTGACTGGATACATAATCCTAGTTATATAGCACTGTAGTATTATTGTGTTATCGTCGAAAGATAAATTAAATAAATAATCTATAAATTTTGAAGCAATAATAAGCATTCACACAACATTTTACTTTGAACATGTAGAAAAAGGAATTCTCTCTGATAATACAAAGATGATGAAATTGAAAATTGAAAATTTCAATTATGAGTTTACAAAAATGATAATTACATAGATCACTCTCAGTTGATAATAGATGTATTAAAATAGTAAAATATTATTTTACTTTATTTCCTGGTGTATTCGTAAGGTTTATAATATTTTCTAAATTATTTCGAGTCAAAAAATAGTTTTAAGAAATTTTGTTGGTCTTATAAAGAATTTTTCGGGGGGAAGGAATTATGAAAGTTATGCAGAAATAATGGTAGTTTGGAGTTTCATAATGAGACAAAAAACAAATTCAAATTATTACAGAGAGGAGAAAAAAAATTCGACCCTGATATTGATATTTTAATAGGTGGTTAAATAAAGTTTC